CAGGATTCTATGCCCAAAGCCCTGGGTTCCTGGCATATTTCTACTGTTTCTTCAGAGCAGCTATTCCCATGGCCAGCCAGGAAGCTTCCATTGCAGAGGGAATCATGAGGGTGTTTTGAGAGTCAGGGCCAGAGCCAGTTGGGAAGGTCCCAAGTTTCCTGCTGGATGTGAAAAGTAGCTTAGCTAACTCCACCCATAAGTCCTCTCAGGGATACATCCATCTTGCGCTTGGACAGCAACCCCAAAGGGAAAAGCCAGGCTGGTAAAACACAGGACTGACTGACCTGCCATCCCCCAAACATCCCCTCTAGTTCATGACCTCTCATGGGTCATCTCTGCCCCTTCAGTTGCTCTCTGGCTCCTCCAGGTCAGAGGTTCTGCCCACAGCAATTAAAAAGCAGTAGGTATAATAAAGGCAAGTGACAAACTGCTGCAATATTTCAGGATGGGAAAACAAGCCGCTCTCCAGGATCTGCTTCCAGGGCCATCAAACTCCAGAGGCACATAGCTGGACGTCATTTCCCTTTGCTGCAGACACTCAGTGCCACTAGGAAGCCAGCTGGGACTCTGACCACTGAGAGCTCCCACACACTTTAAAAACTCCTCAGCAGAGGCAGATTCCAGAGGGGACAACAGGGGACAACGTTTGCCTGTTAACTTGCTCCTCTGGGAAGGCCTCTCTTTCCCCTCCTGGTATTCCCCACCATGGCGGTTGAGCTTACCTACACCCCTCTCCTCATCCCTTCCTGACCCATTGTGCTGAGTGTTGTTTTGTGTGCGCTAGCATATGTCTGCTAGGAATTGTTTCTGAGGACAGAAGAAGGGGGGGAGGGGAGGGGGACACTCTTTCATATTTCTCCCTTCTGGGACTTTTTTCTCTTGTTTGTTTTGAGGTGTCATTAAGTATTCAGTCTGGCTTGTAATTCCATCCCCAGTCAGACGACATGCTTGTGGCTGGCTTAATTGGAAGCTGATGATGACCTGCTCTGAGCCTGTTTCCACAGGGGAATGTTGAGTTGGGACTGTCCCAGCCAGTCTGGATGTTATGACTGTAGCCTTCTGTGGCACAGTCCCACCTTGCTTGGCTTGGCCTTGAACCCTAGCAGCAGGTATTGGCTTCCACAGTCCAGAGACCATCAGAAACTCCGGAGGAGGACTGCTGGGACCAGCTGTGATGGTGGTGATGGGGTCATAAGGTCTAGAAAGCCACATCTGCAGCCAGCATGTTCCATCTGTCCTTCATTTCCAAGCTCAGAAAAGAGCCAAGTTCTAGTTAGAGCTGTTTCTTTGGCCTGAAACTGGATGCAAGAGAGCGAAGATGAGCAGGTATGTCCCTGTGAACACACAGCTCCAGACCAGAGAGCCTACCTTCCCACTGTTGGCTGACATCTTTCAGTGGCTTGCCAGACTCTTGTCTACCATAAAAACCTCCTTCTGTCACCCTAAATGCCCGCAGTGGGAATGCCAGATGGTCCTACAGGCTCTGCTCTTCCCACGGGAGACCAGTCAGCCAGTGGCAGGCAATGGAGTGTCCCAGGGAGAACTCTCAGCACAGGTGTGCTCCTCAGATGCTGGGGCTCACAAAGAACCTTGCACTGTGTGGGAAAGCACCCCTCCACAGGAGAAAATGCAGGAAGAGAGAGCGACCCTGGGCCTGGCTCAAGCAACTGACACCTTCACACCCACGCCAGTAACACATTTCCTTCAACAAGGCCACATCTCCCAACAGTGCTATTTCATATGGGCCAGTGAGGACCATTTTCATTCAAACCACCACAGTTGTGGTCAGCAAGTGACTTTCTACTGGCTTCCCAGGGTCCCACACCAGGCACTTAGGTAGCATCCTTAGGTCTGGAATGTTCAGTGTGGCATCTACCTCCCTTAGAGTTCACCACAGTCCAGGTATACTCCTAAGGTTATAAAGACTCTTGGTTTCTCAGCTGCTGAGAGGATTCAGAGGACATGGAGCCTTGTGGAGTGAGAAGAACCCATTTCTATTCTTGGAGTCCTTACTAATCTTCAGATTTACATTGTCATGGCTGATGGGGGTACTCCATCACAGAGGGGGTTCTCTCTCTCTCTCTCTCTCTCTCTCTCTCTCTCTCTTTATGGCCTGCATTAGGAGAAGTTGGAAACCAGAGCATCAGTTAAGGAGGTAGGGATTTGGATTCTGGGATCAGCTTTGTTTCTTTGCTTGTTTGAGTGTCCTGACACATCCATTGTCATCAGTGGCCCTCACTTTTCTGATCTGTAAAATGGGTAGGTTAGCCTCAGTTGTTACCAGGCTTCCTTTCCGGAGCTCTCTGCTCTTTTTGTCGACTTCTCACAGAATTTGGATGGAGGACATCCAGTCAGCCTAAATGATATCCTTCCTTTTAAAACATGCCTTCAGCTTTTTTCACCAAAGTTCTTTCCTAGGCATCACAACTTTCATTTATTCTTTGCATTGGAACCATTCTATCATTTAGTCTTCAGTTTTGTGTGGTCCTGCCACCATCCCCCACCAGTATCTCCCTGAGGTTGACACTGTGGTTGGCCCCACATAGAAACAACTTTTCCTCAAAGCGTCTTTCCATGTTTCCTATACAACCACCTAGATATAGTTCTCACAGAGAGATGGCTCTGCCAAGACCAGAGTCCAGGGAGCAGGTCCCTTCCTGATGAGCTGCAGCGTGTGGGGATCAGGAACCCAGAGGAAGTGGGGTGAGTGGTGATGGAGCCCATGTAGAATCCTGGGAATCACACTCAAAGGTGCAGAAAAGACTTTATTGTCCAGAGTAACAGCCTTTAAATGACTGAAAGGCCAATCAGACCATCCCATGCTAGCCTCAAGCACCAGTAACAATCAGCCAGGTTGGTGCAACTATAAGGAAATGTGGGAGATGGGGGGTGTAGGAGACTTCCATAAAGAAAGGGGAAGCAGTCACCATCCTAGCCTCAGATTAATTTTGAGACTTCACTAGTGTGCTAGGAGTCCCTAGTGGATCAACACTGTGTGCAGTGGATAAGGACCTTTCAAGGAATCATAGGAGCCATTGATGTTTCATTCACCATTCCCTGTGGGCCTCCAAAAGACTTACCTTGACATTCCCCACAACAATGTCCCTCCTAGGCATCAGCCTTTTTTCAGCAGTGACATTTATGCCTTGGCTTCTTGTTTCCTAATTTTATAAAAGGATGGCCTTTGGTCAGGTGGCCATATGATAGTGCAGGCTGCAGATGCCTCTGGGGAGATGGGTGTGTCCTTTGCCCAGCCAGAGCCTGGCATTCTGCACCTGGATGAAGGGTCTCTCCAGGTTGACAGAAGTCCTCTCTGGGACCATGAAGATGAGGCCTTCCTCACCTTCACAGCCCTGTCAGCATTACTGGGCAAATGCCCTAGTCTCCCTGTCTTTCTTATTCACAGAATCAGGGTGACATGGCTTTACCGCAAGAGATGGTGGTGTGTCCTATTCATCTCACTAGGGCTCTGCTGTGCTGTATGTAAGGGCTGTGATCTGGGTATGAATGTTCTTGCCACAGGCAGTGGAGCAAAAGAAAGAGAAATAGCTAGAGAATATGTTTGTGTTATGGGGTGTCCTCAGGCCCAACTGTTGATAGCTCAACATAAGAACTTGGGGCTAAAAATTTCACCCTACAACATTCTTTCCTGGCAAGCATTCTTTCTTTAGGGTCATCCTTAGGGTCTTTCCCCTGTGTCCTGGGGCTGCCTCCTAAAGCAGCAGGACCCCTGTGGCCTGTGTCTGCTCTCCACTCCTATATACACAGACTGCCAGGCTAGCAGCAGCCAGCCCTGACTTCTGGGCTTTGGATTTGTTATCCTTTATAGATGTGGGAGGAAAGCAGCTTCCTTACTCCTTTTTTGGGGATTGCAGTGTGATGCTGGCAACCGTGGGGTCCCCATTTGCCTTGGCAGACCTTTCTTCCCAAACCCTCTTCCTGGAGGGCAGAGCAGCCTGCTACTCTGCTTTGCTCTGTCTTGACCAGCTGGATTCTCATCTGTTGTAACTTTTGCTCCTTTTTTGTTTTTTGTTTTTTTTTTTTTTTTTTTTGGTTGAAGGAAAGTCACATAGAATATCAATTAAGGCTTTTTATCTTCATCACAAAGGAAAATAAAACAAGGAACAAATAAATCAGTTTTTCTTACATTGTAAGCTGTGATTTCTTCATAAACTAGCTTAGAGAATGGCAATTGCTTCCTTGAGTACCCCAGAGTGTTTGCCAAATGCCAAATCCTGCACCACTTGATAGAGGCCAAGATGCCTAAGCTGTGGTCCCTGTCCTCAGAGGGCTTCTAGGGACAACCATATCCAAAGAGCTGTGATGTCCTACAGCTGAGCAGTCAAGGAAGGATGGCTGAAATCAAGGAGTAGCACCCCAGTGCTCTACAGTAGGCTTGGCTGTTACCTCACCCACCTATTCCTGTCCACACCCAGGGCCCAACCCAAATTCCCCCTTCCAAGAAGTCTCCCAGGAGTTTGCAGGCCCCGTGTATGAAGTGAGATGATATTATCTTTATTCCTCTCTTCTGGCAGCCTTTGACACTTGTGCTCCCAAATCAAAATATCTAGATACCTTAGCTTTCCATGGGGTGCCCATGTTGCATGCCAACCAAGACAGGTATTTTGCAATGAAACAGAAACACATCTGGCCAGCAGGCTAGACAGGCATATGGACCCTTCAGTTAGCAAAGACGTCTGCTGCATCTGGACCCCACTAGACAGGAGGTTGAGTCCCTGGATTTGAGCAGAATGGATTCTGCATTTAGAGAGGCTGCTGGCCGGTGAAAGCACAGCAAGAAGTTGGTGACCTTCTATGTTCTCTTCTTTACTCTCTGTTAGGTGCCAAGCCTCCCAGGATGCTATTTTTACTTTTTGAGGGTCATTCAGCTCATACTGTCCCAGATCCCAATCCCCCTGTCTTAGCCTCCTGAGTAGTGGATTACAGGGGTATGGTGTCGTATGTAGCCTTAATGCCCTTTTAAAAATTTACTCCTCCAGAGATCCTGCAGATCATTCAGCTGGACCTTGACCTGAAGTATAAGACCAACATCCGAGAGCTGTTTGAGGAGTTTGACAACTTCCTGCCAGGTGCTGTTATCGGCATAGCCAGAGAGATGCAGCCTGTGTACAGGTACGTGCTGGCTGTTTGACGTAGTGCGAGGACCCCCTCCCATCCTGTCTTCTCTTCTTCCACTCATGATTGCTTGGATGCAGCAGGACATGGTCTTTGTGCATTTGCGCCCTGGAAGCATGTTTGCACTGAGGGCTAGCAGGTGATGTCCCTGGCAGGTAGGGGTTGTGTTTCAGAGCTGGAGAGGCCGCCTCCTTAGAGTGTGGGATTCTGGTAATTTTTCTTCCAGAAAGCTCAGTTGTCTAGGTTGTTGGCTCTGAGTAAACTTGCAGGGTTAAAATCCTAGGTTTCGTCTGGCAGCAGTGTCAGGATTTCCCCTCCAGCCTAGTGAACTGGGTTTTCTTGGCCTCATGTCGCCATGGTGCAATCACACCTTAGGGAGAGGGTGAACAGTGGCACTGAGGGAGCAGCAGCGGCAGCGTGGGACACAGATGGGTATGAACTGGTCAGGGTAAACAGATGCTTTCTTCCAAGGCAGCACTTCCTTGTCAGGTGTATGTCACAGAGAAGCTCCTGTACCTGAAGCCAGGAGACAGGTCAAGAATGCTGTCTGCACCGCTTAAATGTTCTTGGTAGCAGAATGGTTAAATAAGATGTATTACCCAGTTGAGTACTGTATAGCAGTTAACAAAAAGAACGCACAGTAGTTGTATGTGATGGTAGGCAAAGCAAACAGCACTCTTTACTGAGGCAAACATAAGTGCTAAAAATCACAGGGAAAACCAGGGAGATGCTCTCCAAAGCCAGCATGAGTCTTGAGGACAGAAAGGGGGTGGTGTTTTTATCTCCGTGCCCTGAAATGGTTGTGCACATATTACACATACATTTGTTTAAAGAGAGAGGAAGAGGGAAGAATAGGAGACGTAGGTTTGGGTTTAAAACTAGTCTCATAGCTGGGATTCTAGTGTTCCATGTTGTTGACTCCCCCTTCTCCCCCCTCCCTCACAGTTAGAGTGACAGCCTTCCCCCAAAGCCAGATGATCAGGTTTGCTCCGGAAAACCTAGAATTCTTCTTCCTGGACTCCTGGGGCCCTTTGTTCTCTGAGCCCCCTGTGCTGGCTCCCTGCAGGACTCCTGGAGGAACTGGAAGTCATCTGAGAGCTGCTGGCTCTGGCGTGTAGTGACTCAAAGCATGACTTGTCCCCCACACAGGAGGGGAAAGGACAGGCTGCTTTTAGTGGTGGCTTTTTGCAAGTCTCAGATCACATAACAGGAAATTCCTTCAAAGCCTCAAATGAGCTGATAACTCCTGGGGCCTTGTGGGCTGTTCCCTTACATAATACTGACCCAGGCTCTCCAGAGTCCTGGGCAGTCTCCTGCTTGCACGGGGGTGGGGGTTGGAGTGGAAAGGCAAACCTGCCATGTTGGCTACATTTTCAGAGTCAACACTGATCCCAAGGCAGGCGGCAAACAACAATAACTTTAAAAGTCCTGGGTTCCAGTCCCAGCGGTCAGTCACCATACCTGAGGCCTCAGTGCCCCTTAAGATAGAGCAGAGGTGCTCTGGGACTTTCTCTCACTCCAGCTTTAGGGCTCACAGCTCCTCCACCCTGCTTGTCTTTTTGCTGTCTGTAGTGAGGGCCCTCCTGCTCAGACCCAGGCCCTAGGACACTTAGACAGGCTGGTTATCAGATGTTGCTACATCAGCAACACCTGCAAGACAGGGTTATATATTCTCGTTATATTACACAGAGACCTCATCCCATCTGTTACAACCTTGGCCAGAATTTTATTTTCTGCAAAATTAGGCTTTTATAGTGTAGAACTTTAATCACTCTTATTATCTGGCCTTTGCAAAAGAAACAACTGAAAGGTGGTAATTCAGATTAAGTTTCCCTTGCTTTCTGTGTCTTTATCATTATGTGCAGTGCCAATCATGAGAACCTGGCGCTGGCAGAGTCTTTTTTTTTGTTTTGTTTTTTTGAGAGAGGGTTTCTCTGTGTAGCCTTAGCTGTCTTGGACTCGATTTGTAGACCAGGCTGGTCTTGAACTCACAGAGATCCTCCTGCCTCTGCCTCCCAAGTGCTGGGATTAAAGGAATGCACCCCCATGCCCGGCTGTGCAGTCTTAAAAATGCCACCATTCAACATTGGCACTCTGCTGTAAACCACCACTAAATATCACTAAAGACTGGTAATAAATGAGTGTCCCACACTGCTCTGCATGCAGGGATCAGCTGGCACAGTGCGTGCTTTCTGTATTTGCTGGGCCTGAGAATGGTTTGGCTGGTGGCAGACAAATATGGCTTATGTGTCATGTGTGTAGGTACACACACACAGCCTTCACCCAAATGGAAACTAGAAGGCCCAAGGACCGGAAAGATTTCTTTTAGTTGTCCCCTGCTTTGGAGTATTTATATGCCTGGGATTTGGGTGATGGAAGGAAATGGTGGGAAGAAAAGTAGAGTCTAGTTAATGGTACCTACACAAGGATGGGTAAAGCTGGGCTTTTCTGAGTGGACATGGCCCCTGCTTTTTAGACATAGGTGACAGTTTATGGGAGACACACAGCCCAGGCATTAGTCCTGTCTACTGCCTGCAGAGCTCCCTCCCCCCAACAATGTGCTCAGAGGCCTCCCCAAGTGTCCCGATGTGACAGGGACAAGTTACTTGTTCTAAGTGGAATCTGGTAGCATCCCTGAGAAGAAAGAAGTAAATAACAAAACGCTGTAGCTCTGGGTGCAGCGTGACTGATGGCTTGGGTCTGGAAATTCACTGAGCAGGAATAGGCTCTAGTCCCCCAGCTGTGTGAGTTTTATAGTCACTTGTCCCACAGTTGCTCTACTTCAAAGGGCACACAGCAAGTCGTTTTATGATGGCTTCCCCTCTATTGTGAGTTGTGAAATGTCTCAGGCTTGCAGGAGGGTGAGGAGAAGTGATCCCACCTTGCATTTGTCGGATGGCTTTTTCACATTCCCCCCACACACACACACAAACACACCAAACTGCTTTCTGGACAGTGCTGCAGGGTCAGGGGATGTTGGAGTACAGACAGGATGCTTTTCTCCCTGGTGCCTGTTACAGTTTGGTTGAGTCAGACCAACCATGACTTTCTTCATCTGAAAAGCAGGCCCCTGATCATCTTGGGTAGAATGTTGCCCTTCCCTCCTTTGACCTTTCTGTGCAGGCACTGGACCCCCAGCTTAATCTCCCTGTGGTGCTCTGTGTGACTGGGGTGAGCGAGCAAAGAGAAGGAGAACCCTGAGGCCTTCTCTGCAAACCCACCCTTGAAGTTTACAAACGTTATCTTGCAGGATGGCTTCTTGTGAGTGCATTAGAAGTCCAGGAAACAGCTGCACCTTCTTTGTGTGCATCCAGCAGAATTCAGTGTGAAGCCATAGGAGCAGCCTAAGCAGCTGATGTCACGGCACTGCCATCAGGTTGGCTCAGAAGCCAGTTAGCTGAGGGTTGTGCTGCAAGTCACAAGATCATCTGTGTTTTTCATGTGTGGGCAGGAAGATCTGTCTGTCTGTCTATCATCTGTGTCTCCTACTCTGTCTGACCCCTGACTTTATCAGGTGCCACCCAAAACAGGAACCAGTGCTGTGGGACTTTAGGTTGGGAACAGATACTGATTTGTGTGGAAAGCATGCTCCAGAAAGTGCATGGGCATACCTAAACTAAATTTATTTGTTGTTTATTCAGAAAGTTGCGTTCAACAAAATACCCTGTTTGTTTTTCCTAAGTCCGGCAACCAAGCCCCAGCTCCCACCCCAGTTGGAAAACAGCAAAAGGAAGTGATCTGGCTTTCCTTCAAGAGCCTGGGTAGGAACAAAGGGTATGGAAATAGAGCATGCAGGGTAATCAGGGCTAGAGTGAGTGTGGCCTCCCCCTCAGAGTGCCTAGCCCAGAGAGGACCACCCTGCAAGAACAAGGAGCTAAGCTGGCCTGCGTCCTTGAAGAGGCCACCGTGCCAGGCAGCCTGGCAATGACTTCACTTCAGTTCTCAGGCCCCTCCAAACCCTAGTGGTATCAGACAGAAAGCTGGAGCCTGAGTGGCAGCAGCGGGTCACTTTGTCCTGGAGCTGGCTGCCTGAGGAGCCTCTGAGTGGCAGCTTTGTTGGTAAGGTCTACAACTTCTGGTGCATTCACCAGCCCTACAGGCCAGCATCCTGCAACAAGCCCAGGCACACCACATGGCCATGGCCAGAGCTCTGTCGGCAGCCCTGTGCCAGCCTCACCTCCTTTCAGATGCCGGGATGAGCGTATCTTTCCAGCTTCTCTGCACTTGCCTTATTCTTTCCTGAGACTGGTACAGGGCTCTCGGGGGCATGCTGGGGAGGAAGGGAAGACATGGACAAATCCCCGCTGCTGCCGGGGATTTGAGAAGTAGGTTCTTTCTCTGGAGCTAGTTTCTTTAGCTGAGAAGTGAGATTGTAGCACTGTTTACAGCAGAATTGAGGGGGGGGATTAAGTTAGATGACATAGTTATAGTTTCTGGCCAGGACAGAATAAAGTAGTGGTGGTAGAGTATTCCTCCAAGTTGAAGTGCAGCCACTGGAGTCTTGTGGTGCTAGGAAGTCACTTAGCCTCCAAGACCTTGTTTCCTGGTAGTAAAGTTGGGGTTAGGATGATGGTAGCAGTGTACACCGCTGTGGTTGAGGAACTTCTTAGCTACCATACCAGCCTACCTGCCTCATTAGGGCAGACTGAGAAACTGAAACTCCTAGCTTCCTTGTTCCTGAGATTGTGCAGGTTCTGTGTTCTCCCCCAAAGCAATCACGCTCATCAGTTTAGCATGCATACATACCAGATTTTCCTCTACCCATGTGCCTTAAAAAGGTGAGGTGTTTGCAGCACAGAAACCTACCATATTATGGAAGACAGTGACCAGTCTACAGGGACAGGAGTGTTTTAATATCCCAAGAGGGTACTGGAAACTCAGAGGGTAACAGAGAAGGGGGTGTCCTGTGTAGTCTATGTGAAGGGGACCTGGAAAAGAGAGGGGACAGGGGACCATTCCAGCAGATCCCGGCTCCTGCCTCTATATACCAGACTGAC